CCATATAGGTAGATGTGATGGTCAGGAGTCCACATTCCTTTACCTATACGGTAGGTGTGATGGACAGATTTCCACAATTTTTGCCCATATAGGTAGGTGTGATGGTTAGGTGAACACCAACATTTTGCTTCCAAGGTTGGGAGAGCACAATTGTCTGCAATGTCTTTGTATGATGGAATATTACCAGGACTCTTCAATGGAGGCACCTGAACCCCATGATTTAGAGGGGGTTCACAGACTTTTTCCCCATATAGGTAGGTACGATGGTCAGGAGTGCACATACCTATGTGTGATGGTTAGGTGGCCACCAACGTTTGGCTACCAAGGTTGGTCGAACACAATTGTGCACAATGTCTTTGTATGATGGAGTATTACCAGGACCCTTCACAGGAGACACCTAAACTCCATCATTTGGAGGGGGGTCCACAGACTTTTTCCCATATAGGTAGGTGTGATGGTCAGGAGTCCACATTCCTTTACCTATACGGTAGGTGTGATGGACAGATTTCCACAATTTTTGCCCATATAGGTAGGTGTGATGGTTAGGTGACCACCAACGTTTTGCTTCCAAGGTTGGAAGAGCACAATTGTCTGCAATGTCTTTGTATGATGGGAATATTACCAGGACTTTTCAATGGAGGCACCTGAACCCCATCATTTGGAGGGGGTTCACAGACCTTTTCCCATATAGGTAGGTGTGATGGCCAGGAGTACACATACCTATGTGTGATGGTTAGGTGGCCACCAACGTTTGGCTACCAAGGCTGGAAGAGCACAATTGTCTGCAATGTCTTTGTATGATGGAGTCTTACGATGACCATTCATCGGAGACACCTAAACTCCATCATTTGGAGGGGGTTCACAGACTTTTTCCCATATAGGTAGGTGTGATGGTCAGGAGTCCACATACCTTTACCTATAGGGTAGGTGTGATGGTCAGGAGTCCACATTCCTTTACCTATATGGTAGGTGTGATGGACAGATTTCCAAAAGTTTTGCCCATATAGGTAGGTGCGATGGTTAGGTGGCCACAGTTTGGCTACCAAGGCTGGAAGAGCACAATTGTCTGCAATGTCTTTGTATGATGGAGTATTAACTGGACCCTTCACTGGAGACACCTAAACTCCATCATTTGGAGGATGGTCCACAGACTTTTTCCTATATAGGTAGGTGTGATGGCCAGGAGTGCACATACCTATGTGTGAGGGTTAGGTGGCCACCAACATTTGGCTACAAGGCTGGAAAAGCACAATTTTGCACAATGTCTTTGTATGATGGAGTCTTACCAGGACCCTTCATTGGAGACACCCGAACCCCATCATTTGGACGGAGGGGGGGGTTGTCATATGAGTAGGTGTAATGATCAGGTGTCCATATGAGGTATCAAACGATTGTCCTCAGACCCACTAAGTCCTTCCTGACATGTTGGAAGAGAAAAATTCACCCAACATCTATTTCACATTTGAGATGGCCACTTTCTCACGGCATACCCTTTCCTATTGTCCCAGACTTCCTTGGCCCAGATCTCCACATTGTGAACAATTCTGTTAATGCTTTGAAGTCGACTCTCCCTGTTTTTAGCCACCTACCTACCCCCCCCCCCCCCCCCCCCCGTTCGGTATTTGGGACCCTTCTGTTGTCTGTTAACTCAGCCAAAACCACTTTTGTGAACATAAGTTGTTGGTTACGGTTAACTTAATGCTTGGTCCTAGCCTTGGGCCCAGACACGTCTCAGCCCGTGACCCACCCCTCCCGAATGTCCAGGAGGAGGCCATCTGTCAGTGTCAATCCTGCCGTTTACTACCGGCTCCTTAGAACCTTCATTAATCACAGCCAATTAGAGAGGAGAAAGTCCTGGCTTTCCCACCACTGATGGAGAGACCAAGTCTGGAGGTGCAACAACGCTTAGTAAAGACTCAACATGTCTGAGATTCCCATTATAGGAGGCAACAAAGTCTTCACCTCCACCGATAAGATGGCCGTGCCTCAGAAGACGAGGTAGATACAATTGTGTTTTCCTGTCTTCACCCTTTTTTTTCATCCTTCTCAGTGTTGCTGATCTCCTGCAGACCCTTTGCAGCCACTTCCATCAATGGTGGCATGGCCTTTCTCAGGGCAGGGTTCCTGATGGTGACAACTGTGAACCATGGCTGTGTACTGAGAAGGCCACTTGTGGTCTCCTTTGGAAGCCTGTGTGACAGCACAGGAGAACAATAGGAAGACAAGGACAGAGCGTTATCACCCTATAACAGGAGGTGCCTGAGCAAGGACCTCCATGGCGGGATCACCAGGACGACAACACTGGAGCATGATTGGGAAACATGGACAGAGCGGTGTCACCCTATAACAGGAAGTGCTTGAGCAAGGACCTCCATGGCGGGATCACCAGGACGACAACACTGGAGCATGATTGGGAAACATGGACAGAGCGGTGTCACCCTATAACAGGAAGTGCCTGAGCAAGGACCTCCATGGCGGGATCACCAGGACGACAACACTGGAGCATGATTGGGAAACATGGACAGAGCGGTGTCACCCTATAACAGGAAGTGCTTGAGCAAGGACCTCCATGGCGGGATCACCAGGACGACAACACTGGAGCATGATTGGGAAACATGGACAGAGCGGTGTCACCCTATAACAGGAAGTGCTTGAGCAAGGACCTCCATGGCGGGATCACCAGGATGACAACACAGGAGCACGATTAGGAGACAGATTCAGAGCGTTGTCACCCTATAACAGGAAGTGCCTGAGCAAGGACCTCCATGGCGGGATCACCAGGATGACAACACAGAAGCACAATTGGGAGACAAGAACAGAGTGTTGTCACCCTATAATAGGAAGAGTCTGAGCAAGGACCTTCATGGCGGGATCACCAGAATGACAACACAGGAGCGTGATTGGGAGACAGGGACAGTGTGTTGTCACCCTGTAACAGGAAATGCCTGAGCAAGGACCTCCATGGTGAGATCACCAGGATGACAACACAGGAGCACGATTGAGAGACAAGGACAGAGCGTTGTCCCCCTATAATGAGAAGAGTCTGAGCAAGGACCTTCATGGCGGGATCACCAGGACGACAACACTGGAGCATGACTGGGAAACATGGACAGAGCGGTGTCACCCTATAACAGGAAGTGCCTGAGCAAGGACCTCCATGGTGGGATCAACAGGATGACAACACAGGGCACTATTGGGAAACCGGGACAGAGCGTTGTCACCCTATAACGAGAAGAGTCTGTGCAAGGACCTCCATGGCGGGATCACCAGGATGACAACACAGGAGCACGATTGGGAAACAGGGACAGAGCGTTGTCACCCTATAACAGGAAGTGCCTGAGCAAGGACCTCCATGGCGGGATCACCAGGATGACAACACAGGAGCATGATTGAGAGACAAGGACAGAGCGTTGTCACCCTGTAACAGGAAGTGCCTGTGCAAGGACCTCCATGGAAGGATCACCAGGGTGACACATAATGCTCATATATTTTGGGGAGGGGGGCACCCTGGCCGCTAGACAGCCGTATCCCGGCACTGTGTGAACAGGAAATGGCAGTAAAGAGGCTGCAGGAGATCAGCTGCACTGAAATGTAACAAAGTATAAAAAAGATGAAAACAAGGAAATAACACATTCTTCCAATGGAGACTACAAGTGACCACTTCAGCACAGGCATGGTCCACCGTTGTCACCATCAGGAAACCCAACCCTGAGAAATGTCATGTAGACAGGAAGCAGCTGTAATGAGGCTGCAGGAGATCAGCAGCACTGAGATGTAACAAAGGATAAAAGAAAAGTGAAAACAATAAAAAAAAAAAATGGCAACTGTTGATGATACACAGAGGAAAGGAATCCTCGTCCAGTTTGGGTTTCCATCTACTTGACGTTCCCTTTCCATGGGATGTCCATTGGACGGTGATCACCGGTTCGGGTTTCGGAGATGTTCTCAGAATCCGTCATAAAAGTAACTTTGCTTCGGGTTTTCCATTTCAGAGTTGGAATGTTTTGGTGGCACGAGGAAGGCCTGCCACACCTTGGGCCTTGTAAAGCTTTCGGCGGGGGTCGGAGGTCGGGACCTGTGACTTCTTCAGCAGGACTTGATTAATGGTGTTGAAACCAGAGAGAGATGTGTGATGGATTTCAGAAGCTCCTTGTCCCCAGGATTTGCTGCTTTTGAACAGAAAACAATCCCATTAGGAGCCAAGGGAGGAGGGGAGGGGGGGCTACACAGGTTAGGACAGGAGGGGACCTCTCGGTGAAAGCGCATGGAGAAGGGGAACAAAGGAACTTCTAGAGAAACCTTCCTCAACCTCAACATGGAGGAACCCTTCAAAGGACGCCCAGGTCTCAGGGAACCCCTGATAATAATTGGGATACCTACAGATCCCGAGACCCGCAGGTGAAGAGAGAAGAATGTGAAGAGTATGACCGTATATAAGAATGAATAGAACAAGGAGGGTGGGGTTCAAGGAGTGTTTGACACCCAGGGTTGTCCCATACCATTCATTCTCAACCGGGGTCCATGGAACCTTTGTGTTCCTCCAGTGATTGATTGGGGCTCCTTGAGCTGTGGTTGATAGACCTCCTACCTGATGATGCCTTCAGAATTCCTGGCCTAACGCCGCTTGGCAGAGCCAGCAGAATGGCACCAATCATCATTCTTCCCACTGATTACCAATGTAAGGGACATTCTTCCCACTGACCACCAATGTAAGGGACATTCTTCCACTGACCACCAATGTAAGGGACATTCTTCCCACTGACCACCAATGTAAGGGACATTCTTCCCACTGACCACCAATGTAAGGGACATTCTTCCCACTGACCCCCAATGTAAGGACATTCTTCCCACTGATCCCCAATGTAAGGGACATTCTTCCCACTGATCACCAATGTAAGGGACATTCTTCCCACTGACCACCAATGTAAGGGACATTCTTCCCACTGACCCCCCAATGTAAGGGACATTCTTCCCACTGACCACCAATGTAAGGAACATTCTTCCCACTGACCCCCAATGTAAGGGACATTCTTCCCACTGATCACCAATGTAAGGGACATTCTTCCCACTGACCCCCAATGTAAGGGACATTCTTCCCACTGACCACCAATGTAAGGGACATTCTTCCCACTGATCACCAATGTAAGGGACATTCTTCCCACTGACCACCAATGTAAGGGACATTCTTCCCACTGACCCCCAATGTACGGGACATTCTTCCCACTGACCACCAATGTAAGGGACATTCTTCCCACTGACCTCCAATGTAAGGAGCATTCTTCCCACTGACCCCCAATGTAAGGGACATTCTTCCCACTGACCACCAATGTAAGGGACATTCTTCCCACTGACCACCAATGTAAGGGACATTCTTCCACTGACCACCAATGTAAGGGACATTCTTCCCACTGATCCCCAATGTAAGGGACATTCTTCCCACTGACCCCAATGTAAGGGACATTCTTCCCACTGACCACCAATGTAAGGGACATTCTTCCCACTGACCTCCAATGTAAGGGACATTTCCCCACTGACCACCAATGTAAGGGACATTCTTTCCACTGACCACCAATGTAAGGGACATTCTTCCCACTGACCCCCAATGTAAGGGACATTCTTCCCACTGACCCCCAATGTAAGGGACATTCTTCCCACTGACCCCAATGTAAGGGACGTTCTTCCCACTGACCCCCCCAATGTAAGGGACATTCTTCCCACTGATCCCCAATGTAAGGGACATTCTTCCCACTGACCCCCAATGTAAGGGACATTCTTCCCACTGACCACCAATGTAAGGGACATTCTTCCCACTGACCCCCAATGTAAGGGACATTCTTCCCACTGACCACCAATGTAAGGGACATTCTTCTTCCACTGACCCCCAATGTAAGGGACATTCTTCCCACTGATCACCAATGTAAGGGACATTCTTCCCACTGACCACCAATGTAAGGGACATTCTTCCCACTGACCCCCAATGTAAGGACGTTCTTCCCACTGACCCCCCCAATGTAAGGGACATTCTTCCCACTGATCCCCAATGTAAGGGACATTCTTCCCACTAACCACCAATGTAAGGGACATTCTTCCCACTGACCACCAATGTAAGGGACATTCTTCCCACTGACCCCCAATGTAAGGGACATTCTTCCCACTGACCACCAATGTAAGGGACATTCTTCCCACTGACCACCAATGTAAGGGACATTCTTCCCACTGACCCCCAATGTAAGGGACGTTCTTCCCACTGACCCCCCCAATGTAAGGGACATTCTTCCCACTGATCACCAATGTAAGGGACATTCTTCCCACTGACCCCCAATGTAAGGGACATTCTTCCCACTGACCCCCAATGTAAGGGACATTCTTCCCACTGATCCCCCAATGTAAGGGACATTCTTCCCACTGACCACCAATGTAAGGGACATTCTTCCCACTGACCCCCAATGTAAGGGACATTCTTCCCACTGACCACCAATGTAAGGGACATTCTTCCCACTGACCACCAATGTAAGGGACATTCTTCCTGTGACCCCCCCAATGTAAGGGACATTCTTCCCACTGACCCCCAATGTAAGGGACATTCTTCCCACTGACCACCAATGTAAGGGACATTCTTTCCCACTGACCACCAATGTAAGGGACATTCCTCCCACTGATCCTGGTTTGTTAATCCCTGGCGTGGGTCCCTCCTGGGACTCGGATGTCCCGTGTTCGGTGGTTCGGTGGGACGGGTTCATACATGACCACACAGGTATGTGCAGATGATGCAGAAGCTCCTGGATTTGCAGATAGGATTGTGCGATGCTCTGCGCCTGCCAAGTCCTCACAATGCCCCGTAATCTGCACAGATGGGCAACAAAGAGATCAATGACAAGCGAAGAATGAATCATTCCGGCACGGCCGGCTCCACGCAACTTCGGCCAGATCCACAAATTCCACCATGATGGGGGGGGGGGGGGGGGGGGGAGGGATCCTGCGGGGTGTTAGACCGGATCTCTCTCATACTTCAGAGGTTTGTCAGACCCCCGTCTGTGTGTGCGGCCACGGGGCGACCAGAGAACACCACCAACCCACGGAAAGGTTCAAGCTGAACTCCGGGACCGATTTAAAGGACCGGAACGATTACCGCGCCCGATCTGCTTTGCCTTTCCCACATTCCCCCCCCCCCCCTCGTGTTGATAATGACATTTTTTTAAAAACAAAAACGTAACATTTTCGTTATAAAAATAATTTTAGTTTGGATACCAGCCAATGGATCTCTGTGCTTCTCTATTCAATGCAGGCAGATCATGGCTGGTGGGAGGAGTCAGTGCTCCTCTCGACAGCCCTCAGCCCTGATGCAAGCAGTGGACTGGCTCTTGGAAGGGCTCCTTCCCAATTCATTACATATCTTATTTTAGTCCCAGTGATCTCATCACTGGGTCTCTGTGCTTCTCTATGCAATGCAGGAAGATCACAGCTGGTGAGAGGAGTCAGTGCTCCTCTCAAACAGCCCTCAGCCCTGATGCAGGTAGTGGTTTGGCACCTTTCTCTTGTCATTGTTTACATTTTATAGAGCAAGTGACGTCATCATTGGGTCTCTGTGCTTCACTATGCAATGCAGGCAGACCATGGCTGGTGGGAGGAGTCAGTGCTCCTCTCAACAATCCTCAGACCTAGTGCAAGCACTGGACTGGCTCTTAGAAGGTGCTCCTTTCTTGTCATTGTTTAGCATTGTTATAGAGCCAAGTGACGTCAATGCTCTGTGCTTCCACTATGCAATGCAGGCAGACCATGGCTGGTGGGAGGAGTCAGTGCTCCTCTCAACAATCCTCAGACCTAGTGCAAGCACTGGACTGGCTCTTAGAAGGGTTCCTTCCCTATTCATTACATATCCCTTTTTAGTCCTAGTGATGTCATCACTGGGTCTCTGTGCTTCACTATGCAATGCAGGCAGATCATGGCTGGTGGGAGGAGTCAGTGCTCCTCTCGACAGCCCTCAGACCTAGTGCAAGCAGTGGACTGGCTCTTGGAAGGGCTCCTTCCCTATTCATTGCATATCCCTTTTTAGTCCTAGTGATGTCATCACTGGGTCTCTGTGCTTCTCTATGCAATACAGGCAGATCACGGCTGGTGGGAGGGGCCGGCAGGGTGCTGTACCTAGCTTCCCGAAAAACATTTCAGCACCCCGTCTCAGTACTCCTCTTAAAAAAGCCTACAGACATTCAGAGAAATGCACGGCCAATCTCAACCACGACGCTATCTGCATGGAGTTTGCACGCCGTCCCTGTGCTTGTGCTGATTCTCCGGTTTCCTCCCACATTCCAAAGACATGCCGGTTGGTCCTAAATTGTCCCCAGTATGTACGTATATGTATGCGTTTTGACTTCGGTAGGGTGTAGGTCCTCGGACTTGGCCTGAAGATTTTGGAGGAGGTCACATGGCCTTATTGTCAGGCTCTTCCCCTCCCACAGGGTCTCCCTGGGGGGGGCCCCACCTATTATTTGGGTGGACCTTGCTTCGGAATGTCCCCTGAGGAATGGGGTCCGCCTGGTTTTTAGGGTGTAGGTCCTGGAAGCCTTGAGGAGGAGGGCATGTGGCCTTATAGTAGGGTTCTCCTCCCTTTTGGGGACTCCCACCATGTACCTGGGTAGACTTTGCCATGGCAGATCCCCCGGAGAATGGGATCCACCTAATTTCGGCCAGGTGGACCACAACTACCCCAGTCCCCGTCAGGAGTACTGCACCCCAGGGGTTCATGGCCAGGGTCTTACATAAATACCGGGAGTCTCTATGTTCTGCCCACTTTGTCGGGAGTCTCCATGTCCCGTCCACACATATGGCACTGCTTGGTAGGGTGTTGGTCCTCAGACTTTTCCTGAAAGCCTTGGGCATGTGGACATATAGTCAGGTTTTTTCCCCTTTGGGGACCCCTACCAAGTACCTGTATAGACCTTGCCTTGGCAGGTCCCTCAAAGGATGGGGTCCACCTGGTTTCAACAACCACAACAACCCCAGTCCTGGTCAGGAGTCTTGCATTCTGGGAGGATCAGGACCAGGTTTTTTTCTCTTCGAAAGAGGACCATGTTTGCATCCAACACCTCCTCCTTCCCCAGGTACCCCTCACCTTTGGCACTTCACTCACTCCTGATTAGTAGGGTGTAGGTCCTCGGACTTGGCATGAAAAGCTTTGGGCACGTGGCCTTATGGTCAGGTTTTCTCCCTTCTAGGGACCCCTACCAAGTACCTGTATAGACCTTGCTTTGGCAGGTCCCTTGCACTCTGGGAGGATCAGGACCAGGTTTTCTGCTCTTCAAAAGAGGACCATGTGTCCAACCAACACCTCCTACTTCCCCTTGTACCCCTCACCTATGGCACTTCACTCACTCCCGATTAGTAGGGTGTAGGTCCTCGGACTTGGCATGAAAAGCTTTGGGCACGTGGCCTTATGGTCAAGTTCTCCTCCCTTCTAGGGACTCCCTCTAAGTATCTGGGTGGGCCTTGCCTTGGCAGGTATTCTATAGAATGAAGTCTACCTGGTTTCAGCTGGGTGAACCATGACAACCTCAGTCCCCTCCAGGATTCTTGCACCCAAGGATCCTTTCTTTTTGGAAGAGGACCATGTGTTCAACCAACACCTCCTCCTTCCCCATGTACCCCTCACCTATGGCACTTCACTCACTCCCAATTAGTAGGGTGTAGGTACTCAGACTTGGCATGAAAAGCTTTGGGCACGTGGCCTTATGGTCAGGTTCTCCTCCCTTCTAGGGACTCCCTCTAAGTACCTGTGTGGGCCTTGTCTTTGAAGGTACCTTATAGAATGAAGTCTACCTGGTTTCAGCTGGGTGAACCATGACAACCTCAGTCCCCTCCAGGATTCTTGCACCACGAGGGTCCTTTCTCTTTGGAAGAGGACCATGTGTTCAACCAACACCTCCTCCTTCCCCAGGTACCCCTCACCTATGGCACTTCACCCACTCCCCCCGATTAGTAGGGTGTACGTCCTCAGACTTGGCATGAAAAGCTTTGGGCACGTGGCCTTATGGTCAGGTTCTCCTCCCTTCTAGGGACTTCCTCTAAGTACCTGGGTGGGCCTTGCCTTGGAAGGTACCCTATAGAATGAAGTCTACCTGGTTTCAGCTGGGTGAACCATGACAACCTCAGTCCCCTTCAGGATTCTTGCACCCCGAGGATCCTTTCTTTTCGGAAGCAGACCATGTGTTTAACCAACACCTCCTCCTTCCCCAGGTACCCCTCACCTTTGGCACTTCACTCACTCCCGATTAGTAGGGTGTAGGTCCTCGGACTTGGCATGAAAAGCTTTGGGCACGTGGCCTTATGGTCAGGTTTTTCTCCCTTCTAGGGACCCCTACCAAGTACCTGTATAGACCTTGCCTTGGCAGGTCCCTCAAGGATGGGGTCCACTCTAACAACCACCCCCCAGTACCTGGTCGAGCCTTGCACTTGGCAGGATAGGACCCTATAGAATGAACCATGTCATAACACCTGGTTCCCCAGCTGGGTAGGGAACCATGACAACCTCCCTTCTAGTCCCCCTCCAGGATTCTTGCACCCCGGGGGTCCACCTGGTTTCAACAACCACAACAACCCCAGTCCTTGTACTCCAGGAGGATCAGGACCAGTTTTTTTTTTTTTTTTCTCTTCGAAGAGGACCATGTGTCCAACCAACACCTCCTCCTTCCCCATGTACCCCTCACCTATGGCACATTCACTCACTCCCGATTAGTAGGGTGTAGGTCCTCAGACTTGGCATGAAAAGCTTTGGGCACGTGGCCTTATGGTCAGGTTCTCCATGATAACCTCAGTCCCCTCCAGTCTTGCACCCCCCTATAGATGGTCCTTCCTCCCTGGAGGAACCATGACCATGCGTACACCCCCCCGATCCTTTTTTGGAGGAAGACCATGTGTACACCCCATGCACTTTTTCCTTCACGTGTTTTCTTGCACCTGTTGTTCATTTCGAGCATTTTGAAGTCCCAACAAGACCTTTCTGTAATTGCTTCCCCCAACCCCCACGGCCTTTGTCTACAGAAAGGTATTCAATTCCATCTCCAGCTCCCGGAGTGTTCGGCCAACACCTCCCCCTTCCTCAGGTACCTTGCACCTATCAGAGGAGATTAAAGCTTTTTTTTTTTTATGTTGTTTTTTTTTTTTGGATGTAAATCCAGATTATCCCTCGGGAATGAAGAGAATAGCCGGGCAGAAGTGATGGGGGATGGGAGGGGAAACCTAAAACCTTGTTATTTGGTGGAATAAAGGACACCTGAGCCGTGAGGGGGGAGATGAGGCGTGGAGAGGAAGCAGAGTCTGATATTCGATAGGCGCGCCGTGTGGGACTCTGTGGGGCAATCTGTGCCGAGGTCGGTTCCTTCTTCCTTCTTCCTTCTCTCTCCTTCTGCTGAGACAAAACCACAACATTCGCCCAAAAAACGTGTTTCTCAGAGCCTTCCAGGACATCAACGCCGAAGAGGACCACAGATGGAAGGTTCAGGCAATGGAAGGTTCAGGCAATGGAAGGTTCAGGCAATGGAAGGTTCAGGCAATGGAAGTTCAGGCAATGGAAGGTCAGGCAATGGAAGGTCCAGGCAATG